GGTATTTCCTAAAGAGTGTTTTGAGCCAACATCGAAGCTTTTTCCTTTCATCTGTACTGCATATGTGGACACATGCAGAGTATCACAGGCCTGCAAGATGAGGTCTAACTAATAGCATAAACACCCGGTAAACACGAGCAGCATAATACACAATTTCCAATATCAAGTGATGTTGAGTTGCACACAATTTTAACAACATTCAATGAAGAAAAAGCAGTTGGTCATCAGGCTGGAAAGAAAAAATTTTTGAAGTTAAACTCCAAAAGTGATTCATAAGTAAACATATGAACAGTGGCTTTGTATTTAACACATTTTTATCTACTGTTTCAAGGAAAGAAAAACAAATTTCAAAGTGACAACATCAAGAAGTAAAGAGCACCTCGAGTTGAGAGATTTAATGTTGCACAGAACTTAAACATTTCCTTAACCCTTTACACCCAGCTGGTTACATCATACAGTATGCATATTCTCCATACTCTTCTCCATGCATTTCCTATTAAGGTGCTGATGATGATAATTAATCATTTTCTTAACAATCAAGACCTTTCATCCATGATCATTTGCTTTATCCGTTTGACCTAATGATTTTTGGTTAAGAGATGATATTGTAGGGGGTTATTAAATACTAATCCCTCTCAAGGGTTACAGGGTAAGGCAAATCCCGTACAAAACTTTCCAAAAATATCAGGGCAGTTAATAGAAATGTAAACGGGAAGGCTGAAATAAAATTTAAGGTGAGCCTCTGCTCAATGTGTTTCTTTTTTAATCTTACTTTGTGTTGTGGTAAAAGAAAAGACAATGACAGAGTGATTACCACGGTTACAACTACCGGATTTAAATTGAGGAACACTCTGTTTGATATGCCCTAGGAGAACAAGTTCATCTCTCCTCATATAATTTTGAAGGTGTATGTAGAGTAAGTCAGTTTTGACAAGGTTGGGAAAGTAGAATAAAGGACTGAAAGTACAACATTTGCAGATAAGGCAGTCGTAAAAAATGGTAAATACTTGTGATATTGTGGATGAAAAAGCCAAGAAACATCAATAAAGACATCATACAACAACAAGCCTTCTACGAAATATGTACACAACACCAAAGGTTTATTCTTTCACACATTATTTATTCATTCATTTATCCACACATGTATTTTCTGTTAGCATACCCCAAAGAATAATGTTATTTTCAATCCACTGGTTTTATTTTTAAGGATGTCATTTTTTTTTACAAAATAGAAATTGATTGTTGATGTTTTAAAATCAATGTATATTTTCCAATGAGAGGCAAACAACGAGCCAACAACACGTGCAACACAAGCCAAGTAAATAATAAAAAAGCCTTTGGCAATAACCAATATACAAAACAACCAAAATATGAACACAATCGAAACACAACCTTCAGTGGTAACCAATTTACGACACAAGCCAGTACAAATAAGCACAATTTTTTGCTATCACCAATTTACAACACTTTCTCTCAGCAGTTTACAACACAAGCGAATATAAATTAAACAGAGGGGCTCATAAAGGGTTTACAACACAGATGTACAAGCCAAAACAATAGGCAGCAAGAGTAACACTGATCAAGAGTATTTAGCGCTCACCAAGCGCTTTATAAAATGAGCTAATGAAATAGATACATACACTTGGTTCACCACTGCTCAACACGGTTCGATGAAGTAACAAATTAAACCATAAAAGGATGGATGAGCAAAATCACAGAATAGTGAAGAATTTATCTCTGCACTAAATATGCACAGCCTTAGTACCGCTGACCGGCATAGCAAGGAACCTTGGACTCTGAATACCTTTGAATGCCATTGAATACCTTTGAAAGCGTTCGGCATTGGCGTTATGTGTTTGCAGTCTGTTGCGTGATGTTTTCGTATGGTAAAAGTCAATCAAAGATAGTGTCGGGTTTCCTTCCAATGTTACGTAGTTGAATTTCCTCCTTCCCATTTCAGCGAATTGCACCAGGTTTTGTCAACAACTACATTAAAAAAGGCTAAGATGTCTCAGTTCAAAAAGCGAATTCATCTTTTCAACTGTGATAACACATACAAGCTAGAGCCTGTTGAAAAATTGCTGGAGAAATGTGGCATCCATGTTGAGCGTGTTGAGAAGCACTACTTCAGACTTCCTAAAATGTATGAAATGGTAGACATAATTCCCACCTTAGAGATGGATATGGCCTTTTTCGTGGTTCATGCACATGAATGTGTACTCTCGATAAACGAGGACGGCGCGGGATTTGGCTACGCCAAAATATACCGGGCTTT